TTCAATGCACACAGACTGAAGTAGTTTAAGTCTTTGGTTCTTTTAATTGTGATGATTTTGGCTCACATTTAACAAAAACCCACCAATTCACTATCTCAACAAATTAGAATACTTAATAAAAAAAATATATATTTTTTTTAAATTAAAAGAAACCAATAAAAAAAACATTTTTAGTGAATTGTTGGCCTTCTGGAAAGTATGTTCATTTACTGTACATGTTTTTCCACGACATTCTAATTTATTGAGATGCACCTGTATATACAGTATATATATAATAGCAATACTAATTAACTAATTTGGTTAGTTAATCATTAAGTAAACATCTCTACTTAATATTTAAATGCTTGTGGAGGCCATATGTGTCACCTGACTATATTTTTCATATGTGACCCTGGATCACAAAACCAGTCTTAAGTCGCTGGGGGATATTTGTAGCAATAGCCAAAAATACATTGTATGGCTCAAAATTATAGATTTTTCATTTATGCCAGAAATCATTAGGATATTAAGTAAAGACCATGTTCCATGAAGATATTTTGTACATTTCCTATACCGTAAATATATCAAAACTTAATTTTTGATTAGTAATATGCATTGCTAAGAACTTCATCTGGACAACTTTAAAGGCGATTTTCTCAATATTTAGATTTTTTTGCACCCTCAGATTCCAGATTTTCAAATAGTTGTATCTTAACCAAATATCGTCCTATCATAACAATCAATGGAAAGCTAATTTATTCAGCTTCAAATTTCAAATTGACCCTTATGACTGGTTTTGTAGTCCAGGATCACATATATGAGGAGTAATATCTGGGTAATAACGTGTGAAGCGCTGCTCACCTGAGCGATCTCCAAAGTCAACACTCCTTCAGAGAAATCCAGTTTCTCATTGACCTTGATCTCTCGTCCATCTTTATACCACAGCGCCACAGAGTCTTTCTTCATATTAGCAACCTGCATCACAGGTTAATACATCACTAATTAAGAAACAGGCAGCACTGCGGTTTAATTGGAGTGTTTAATCAGAGAGACGGCTCACCTTACACTTCAGTCTCACACAGCACTCAGGTGTGACTTCATAACCGAGATACTCCACGAAGTGTGGACCTTACAGTGCATGAACAGCATGATTAATGTACAAACACAGTGAGTATACAGGATGTGGAATGAAATACTACAGTACTACTTTTTTTACAGCATAGTATGTACACTATGCACAGTCTGTCCACCTTATTTTGAAATGCAGATGCAAGGTATTTTCTGTGAATGTGCAAAACTTCTGAATCGTTAGCCGGTAGGTTAATAACTAGAAGAATAACAAAGTGCAGTAAATGGTAGAAGCATTTGAGCTACAACCTACTTTGTTTATAATTATGACAATACCTTAAAATATGTGACCCTGCCTGTGAAAACCCAGCTAAAGTCATTTTTTTTGTGATTTACCGTTTTCTACATAAAATCATAAAGATGTAGAACATTCTGTGAAAATATAACCTTTATATCTTTAATATTGACCGAGTAAGGCCATGACAAAGATTGAAATCCTAGTGAAATGAATGGTTAAAAAAAATCAAACTTTGATGCTTGTTATCTCATAATTAGATTTTGAGACTTTGGCCTGGATTTCACAGACAGGGTCACATATTATGAATATTAGTAATCAGCATAACAGGCGTTTTTGTACATCTATAATAACTGGAAGTGAACGACACTGGAAGTTACAAACGGCCGCATCCGCTCTTAATAATAAGGTGGATAGATGTGTGGAATACATGAATATTAGCCAAAATGTGCATTATTAAATAAATAGTTCAGACTCTAACTTCTGATTAGTGTAATTTTAGTAAAACTGATATACTATAGTTTTTTTGTTTTTGAATTAGAATTCATTAACTTTTTTATTTTTAATAATTTTTCTTAGTGTTTTTGTTTTGTAAGAATATGTCTATATAGTTTTTATTCATTTATATTTATTAGTTTTAGTTTATTTAGTTTTAGTAAATCAAGTTTACTAACATGTTTACCAACTAATCAAGTAACTAAACGGAAATTAGAAATATTGCACGGGAACTAGCTGAAATAAATTTTTTTTTTATATATATATATATTTCAGTTAACATTTCTTTTATTTCAAGTACCGAAAATGTTTTTTTTTTAATAGTTTTAGTTAACGATAATAACCCTGCTTCTGATTAGATGAGTTGTGTTTGAGGCTGTTGCAGAATGCCCATAAATGCACAACTGTGATCGCACATTAAAACAGACCTCTGTGTTTTTTTATAATCGGAAACATGCTGCGATTTATATTAAAACGACTTATATATAACGCAATTAAGCACACATTAGGGCCGAATGAGATTCAATTTTGCTATTTTGAGTGTGACGTACTGTCAGGTGTGACTTATTTTCTGCAAAATAATTAGTCTAATAGTCACTTCACATCAAGGGCCGGTTGCAGCAGCTGTATAAATTAAAACTAAGCTTAAGTCGCAATTTACGCTAAATAAATGACTGTTGCATCAAGTTTAGTATAATCTAAATATTTCAATGAATGAAGCCTCCAACCAGACAGCTGGAATAAAATGGCAGGTTTCCTGAATTGCATCATTGTAAAATTATTTATTATTATTATTATTTAACATATAACTTAGTGAAGTCATATGATAACGATGTATTGTATTGCTGTTTGAAACATTACTGCATACTTGTTCACATGCATTTTTAAATAATACTGCAGCGCATTTACTGCGCGCATAATCATACCTTGTTTCCTAATCCATTCTTTTTTCTGGAACTCCGATTCCTTCTGTAACTGCTTGAACACTGAAGGAAATGAGATGGCGTTATCGGTACACACTCTATACATGAGATGCATATATGTATATGGACTTTTAGATGTACCATCTCCGATCAGCACTAGACTGGACTGGTTAGTGGCTTTGCCGTCTTGAAGCTGGAAAGTGAACGTTCCCTCGTCCTCTTTGCCCAGAGACTCCATGAACATCTCAATGGTGCCAGTATTTTTATCAAAGTTCATCTTGTATTTCTGCAACACAGAGAAAGTGTTAATGCAGAAGCAAGCCAAAGGACTGTTTCCAGTCAATAGCATTTGTAATGCTTCATCTGCTGCGTGTTTGTTTCTGTGTTCCTCTAACCTCTCCCTGGTGGATCACATTGTCATTGAACACATATTCAACTTTTCCATTGGCAGAGATTTTTTCAGCCTGCAACCAGAAGCGAACTCTGCCCTTCTCCAGCAGCTCCACGGCCAGCTCTGTCTTCAGAGGGATGACTGGAGAGGGGGATGAAAATGCATTGTAGAACGTTTAAGAGAACTTTAAGAACAATAGAACAAAACATGAATTCAGTCCTGAATGATGTTCATTGCATTGGAGACTTATGAAGCAATGGAAGTTGTACTTAACTTTGATACTTTTTTTGTATCGAAACACAATGTCGTAACCAGGCATGATGCAATTTATAAACTGGCAAGCAATACATCTTTCATGCTAAACAAGTTTTTGTCTTAACCAAAGGATAAGTGTCATGTGACAAGATTTTGCCACTCCATCGAGCTCGTTTGTAAAATCCTGCATTACATAGCTGTATTTTAAACGTTAAAAATTTGTTCAGTTCACACATTAATATGCTTTCGTTTATAGGACAGAACAATTAGCACACTATTTTAAATACATTTAATAGAACTACTCTTGTATAAAAAAAAAAATACATTAAAAAGTATAAACTGCACTTTCAGATAGTATAATTTAAATGAAATAAAAGACCACTTAAGTGTACTTAAAGTAAGACACTTTCATGACTGTTTCAAATACACTTTTAAAAAGTGCACTTTGTAATAATGTCAAATTAACTATTTATTTTAAAGTATTATTTAGGGCTGCACGATAAATCGCATGCGATATTTAACTACCGCTGATTACAGAACCGGCTTTACTGATAAGATGCCCGTTAAATATCGCATGCGATTTATCATGCAGCCCTAGTATTATTAATACTTTAACGTAATATTATTTTATTTTAAATCATTATGGTTTTTAATAGTCTTTTCTTGTGCTTTTAGAAGTACACTTATTTTGATGTGTTGACTAACATACTAAAGCAGATATGAAATACTGTGGTACTTGGCATTACATTTAAAGTTAATATTTTTTAAATGTACTGTATTGCAACTTCATTATTACAAATGTGTAATTACATTAAAGTGTATTTCGTTTAACACACGTACTTTACACGTACTTTAGTCCTACTTAAGTGGCTCAAAAACACTCAAAGTTCAACTCATTTTAACTAATTTAAACTATAATACATTTTTATTTAATTGCAAAAAAAACCATGCAATTAAGTGTCCAAAAATATTACATTCAGTTCACACTTAAGTATATTATTTTAAAGTATTATAAATGTATTACTTCCACAAAAAGTACTCTTAAACGTATGGTAAAGTGAACAGGATAGAGTAAGTGCTCACACGTTCAAAATAAAAAGTTAAGAATGTGAAACATTTGTTCAACAGTGCATGTGACGTGATGTTTACTCACTGGGGAATTTGTGGTCGTGGCTGATCTTCAGGAGTTCTTTTAGAGCTGCGAGGAACAGGACAGAGAAGTAGTCAGAATCAATAACCAGTGCTGACTTAGTAAATTCAAACATAAAAATGAAAAAGGTCAATGAACTCACTTTCCTCAGAGAGTGTGTAGCTGGCAGAGGCTCCATCAGTGTGTGTCACGAAACAAGAGTAGATGCCCAGATCTTCTTCTGAAGGTGTTTTAAAGATGGCTTTGGATCTACAGACAAATATTGAAGAGTTAGAATATGATCCCATGCTAATCTTTTTTTTTTTTTGTAGTTATAGCTCTGGAAATGTGCTGAAATTGTTTGCTACATTAATAAATGATATATTTATTAAATGTTCTACCCAAGACAAGTTGGTTTGAAGGGACATTTGAACCAAAAACAAAAAGACTAAACATCTACTCAAGATCGTGTCTTTCCAAACCCTCATCTTTAAAACAAAAATGAAGATATTATTAATATTATCTCGTTGTCCATCCATTAAAAGTCTATTAACAAACAGAAGTCAAGCAAGCATATTTGAGCCATGATCTAAAAGTGGATCTGTCACCCATGGCTTTTCATTTTGGCCTAGTTTTTGTTACATAAATAATGACACGGTGTGATATGTCATGTGTTGTTGTTCATCTGAAGTTTTATTTTCCAGATTTTAAGACCTGCTAAGGACCAGATTTTTATTATTTTATTACGTCCTGATATGGAAAGCCAGGGAATTCAATAGGGTGCCCTTTCTTTTTCACATGACTGTACATCTTGGATGGCCTGAGGGGGAGTAAAGTATCAGCAAATTTTCATTTTTGGGTGAACTATTCCTTTAAAAAGTATTTCCTGATGAATAAACGTCTTATGGGTTTGGAACAACATTTTAATTTTTGGTTCGACTAACCCTTTAAGCCATAATTTTAAATGTGATAATTAGTAATTTAACAAAACTCATTAGCCCATAGATACTTACTTGTTACCCTTGGTCTCTAAGGTCATGCGTTCAGGTTCTGTCATTTCCATGTAGTTCTTGGACCAGACGAATTTGGAGTCAGCGGTGAGGTTAGAGCACTCAAAATTCAGTGAAATGACGCCGTCATCGTCAACATTCACAACTATCTCGGTAGTTCCTGTGAGAAAGAAATGGCTTGTTGGATTTTGTTGAGAGAAGTTAAGTCTTGTTGATTTTGGTTTGTTTTTAGGGTTAACCTGGATTTAAAAACAACTCTAAACAGATTCCTCATTTCCAAAAGCATCCACTGTAAAGATTACGAAAAAAAAAAGAAGTAATTTTCAGAGGTATATTAAGTTATTTGAAGAGAGATCATGAAGACAAATGTATGAATAAAAGGATCATTTTAATTTATTTCACATTGATTTCAATTTTATCTGCAGTAGCTTTTTTTGTAGTACAATACAATGTTATTTGAGAAATTCTAGTTCAGTCTAGTTTAGTACCTGGTTTAGTCACTGCCTCAACTGGTTCTGTTGGATCTGATGCTTTTCCTACACCAGCTTTGTTCTGAGCGCGCACACGGAAAACATACGATTCCCCCATCTTTAGATCCTTGATCTAAAATAAGAGAAACAACATCTAATACCATAAACCTACCCTTCTGAAAAAAGTGTGCTTAATGTGAACTTGTAGTGTGCTTCAAATCTTAAAAGAATATTTAAAAAGATGACAATTGTATAGATAATAGTTATGAAATAAAAGTTGAAATTATTAATTATGAATTAAGATATACTTAAGTCCCACTTAAGTGGGTCAAAAACTCATTAATTGCACTTAACATAAATTTTAACTATAATTAATTGTAATTGCCATTGCAATTGTAATTGCATGCAATTAAGTGTCCAAAACATTACATTCACACTTAAGTATATTCACACTTAAGTACTCTTTTAAAAAGCATGCTTTTTAAATAACAAAGAGTGAAAAATTTAAGGGGGTCTGAATACTTTCCGTACCCACTGTAAGTGACTCAAAGAGTGACACTTTCATGTTTCATAACACACTTAAGTACACTTTTAAAAAGTGCACTTTTTTAATGTAAAATTAAAAGTTGTAAAGTACATTTTGAGTCAATATGTTTTAATACTCTTTTTTGTGCTTATTTTGACATACTACAGCACATGTAGAGGTTATGGTTAATATATATTAAATGTACTAAATTGCAATTATAATTTCAAATGAGCTAATAATTTGCTTGTTATTATACAAATGTCCTACTTACTCTATAAGCTCTCTCACTGACAGACTTAATATTCGCTTCATGCCATTTTCCCGGAACTCCTCCGATGACCTCACGATAATCAACGAAGTAACCAGTGATGTCAGCGCCACCGATGAAAGTGGGCTGTTTCCAGGCTAGTACCATCGACTTTCATGTTTCATAACACACTTAAGTACACTTTTAAAAAGTGCACTTTTTTAATGTAAAATTAAAAGTTGTAAAGTACATTTTGAGTCAATATGTTTTAATACTCTTTTTTGTGCTTATTTTGACATACTACAGCACATGTAGAGGTTATGGTTAATATATATTAAATGTACTAAATTGCAATTATAATTTCAAATGAGTAATTACAAATATATTTAAATACATGACATACAAGTTTCAATAGAAATGACATTAAAGTATATTTTAGTTTAACAAATGCTTGTAAGTACATTCAACGGTACTTTAACCATATTTCAAAGACAACAGAAGTAATTATGAAATTACATATAAAGATGTACTTAAGTCCTACTTAAGTGGGTAAAAAACCCTCTAAAGTTCAGCTAATTGCATTTAATACAAATGTATGTATTAAAAAATATTTTAATTGCAATTAACATGCAGTTAAGTTTCCAAAAACATTAGATTGAGTTTTCACTTAAGTATATCCTTTTAAATTATTTCCATAATAAGTACTCATTTTAAAAGTATGCTACAAGAGTACTTAATTTTCTCAAAGGTATACCAATATCACAACCCTTAACAAACTCCACTGCCCTACGGCTTCCATATGCATACAAACCTTCATGAATGTTTTGTCAGTAGCTTTCTCATTGACTCCTCTCCACATCTCAAAGTCTGCGCCACAAATGCTTGACAGTACATTCAGCAGTACTTTAACCATATTTCAAAGACAACAGAAGTAATTATAAAGATGTACTTAAGACCTACTTAGATGAACATTAAAGTGCTTTTTTGACCCACTTAAGTGTATTACGTGTATTAAATGTATTATAGTTTAAATTGGCATTTAATATAAATTTGAAATATAATACACTTTTGTTTCATTGCAATTAACATGCAATTAAACATCCAAAAACATTACATTTAGTTTGCACTTAAATATCTTGTTTTTAATTATATTCATTCTGTAATTAGTGCTCTTTTTAAAAGTATGATAAAGTGTACTTCTTTTCCACAAGGGTCAATTTAACAGTAATGACCAAATAAATGATTAATGAGGGAACTGGATCAATTGCAATACACTAAATAAGTGTTTAAAAAAAAAGATGCAAAAATGCAAAGAAACTAATTAAGAATGAATGGAAAAAACAACAGGAAAGGAGAAAATGGAAGACAGGTCAACTCTGAGGAGGGATGCCGATGGGTGATGTTCCAGAGAGTTGGTTTTCTCTCTCTCTTCTCACCTGAGGCTCTTCGTCCTCTCTCTCGCTCTCCTGCTTTCTCTTGTTCTGGAGAAGAGTTTACTGAGGACTTACGACTGTCTGGCAACTCTGTTGCCGACTCCTTTTGGATACAGTTGGGCTCTAACAATTCAGTGCAAGAGTTTGCAACCTGTTTAGCAGTTTCCTACCCACAAGCAGGTTCTGGTTCTTGCTGACTGGCACTCTTGCCCTGTTTGCCTTCATTTAATGCAGTTGGATGCCCTTTGTGGTCAGTGTTTTGACCCCCTCCCTCAACTCTCTCACTAACATTAGCTATGCGTGTTAGAGGCGTGTCAGCAGGGGAGTGAATTTTATATATTATTATTTATTTATATATATTATATATTTATATATTATATATCAAAAATTGTTTTTTAGATCTTGCATTACAACTTTACAGCCAATCAAACAAGCAAACAGAGACAATAATCAAAAAACACTCTCCTAAACGACCCTCTTTGCGTAGTGTTATGAAGTCTAATTCCCTGTGGATTTTATTTTTATTTTTGCAATTTATACCGTTTTATGCTATATTGTGTTGTATTGTTGAAATTATTGTAAGTTTTTCTGCACACATTGAGTTTTTGTGCCAGAGAGTACTGCTTAGTTTAGAAAAAGGTGTGCACTTTAAAAGCGTGTTTCATAAAGGAGAAGTGAGCATGACGCTCAACAGACAGTCTCATGGATTTTAAAGGGCATGACATAGAAAGTGTGAAAGACATGCAAAAGGTTGAGGGAGTTGGAAGGAGTGTACGTGGGAGAGCGGGTGAGCTGGTTTTGTAGTCACCACTATGTTGGATCAGTTGTGACCCAAACTAGAGGAGGTCTACAAGTCCTGATCCCTGGGAGGAATGCAGGGAGCGGAGCTAGAGTTTCGTGGTTGTGGCCTTGGCACTAACGTGTCATATTGGACGTGTGGAATGTGTAAGTCAAGTACAGTGGTCAGAATTAAAAAGTGAAAGCTGGAAAAGTGAAATCACATTCTAAACATCTTAATGATATCAATAGGAGTGACTATAAATGACTTACCAATAGCAGCTTTAACTGTAATGGCTTCTGATTCTTGTGAGAATTCACTGATTCCCGCAGCATTGACGGCTCTTACCCGGAAAACATAACTCTCGCCTGTGGTTAAGCCATGACAGATAAATCTGCATGAACACATATAGACAGAAATTAATATATTACAACATAAAATGAAAGTCTCACACAAACAGTTCTAGCATTTATTAGTGAAGCTTGCTAAGACAAACATACTGTTGCTTACTCTTGTTCATTTAATAAACCTTTAAATCCCTAAAGGCATGTTTATTCCAACATAAACGTTTGTCACAAAAATTCAGTCCGATTTTTGCGATTTGTCTGTTTAGACCAGGGCTGGGCAACTTCGAGATGAGATTAGGACACATCTCTATAAAAATATTTGCATAGCATTAATTTAATACGGAATAATTGATGACGGGCTGTTGAATTATTCGAAAATGAATGCACTCGAGGTGGTATGCGGCCACGACGTGAAGCATGTCTTTACTGTTTGTGTGCGTTTGTACGGGGGAGAGCGGGAGAAAGAAAGCGTGCTTTCCGTCGGTAATAAAACTTAATTTAAATACTTTGTCATTTTTATCCTGTTGTTTCTTATATTTAGTGGCTTGGTCAGTGTATTTGTGGGTTTTGGATCTTTTGCTCTAAGGAGATTCGAAACAACTTAAAAATCATTTGGCGAAGTGATATGGAACTGTAATGCGGTCAAGACCTGCCTGGAACTACTTTAGCCGTGTGTTTCCTGAAAAATAATAGCACGCCTCAGAATGCTCAGAAGCATTAAAATGTTTATCTCAGGTGAAAATCGCTGCTGACCAGGAACTTTTGGAACTATTTTCATTGGACGAGAAATAATCTACAAACCACTTGGCCAATTTATGCCTGAAACATAAGTTACTTTATAATAATTATAGAATATAGAATATTGTTTATAGAAATGTTGTGTAAAAGCAATATCACTTTTGGATTTGGATTAGTCTGTGATCACTCTGCCTTGTGCCTAAGGCCACGTTACAGCTGAGATATTAAGTACACCAGCACTCTTGCTTGATTTGATTAATTATAATTACACTGTATGTATCGTTCTACCTTGTGCCTTTAACTGGTTTGTTGTTGCATGGCTCCCAAGTGTTGCTCCCTGCAATGCTGCTCTCAATGTAGTAGCCCACCAGCTCTTTAACATCACGTGAAGCTTCCCATGAAACCACCACAGATGTGTCTGTATTGCGGGTGGGAACCACACGGCCTGGGGCTGATGGGATATCTGCAGGCAGGTGACAAAATAGTCTATTACTCTATTACGCTATTATAGAATTTATATTATATTCAAACAATATTCACCTGCATGCAATTACTGTATGTTGGTTAAAAATGGTAAATGAGGAGTGAATGGAGTATCCACATATAAAGTAAGGGCTACTTATACATAATTGGATACAAAATATTGAGTGGAGTTGAAATATTTTCCTATTATTACAAGAAGTCTTATAATGAGATGTTAAGTCATAATATGATGAGGTTTTTCATTATAATGCAATGTTAAATCATAATAATGAGATTTATTTTCTGAATATCATAACATGAACTTATAGTTCTCATTAAATATAAATGTTAAGTCATAAAGACATTTTTTCTAAATATTAAAACATTAACTAATACAAGAAGGTTTATCATTATTATGAGACAGTCATAATTACGGGAAATTGTCTCATTATTATGATACATAAAGTCATTATTATGAGATATTTTCTCTATAATGAGATACTAAGTCCTTATTATGAGAAGGTTTCTCATTATTAAGATATATTAATTCCTTATGAGACAGTTTCTCATTATTATGAGATACTAAGCCGTAATCTATGGAAAGTGTCTTATTATTACGATACAGGAAGTCAATATGAGAGATTCTCAATAAAATGAGAATAATAAGTCATAATTGTTAACTTTCTCTCGATTATGACTTAAAGAATCACGTTTAGCCGAACTATGGTGACTTCTATAGGATTCCCTATATTTAAATGTTTTTAATGACAGAAAGCGATAATTTTAATTTGAAATTTCTCACCCACAGGCTCCTCCTCAGTCACAATGATTTGTCCAGTCCAAGGAGCAGAGGTACCTACAGAGAGAAAGTATATTGTTGTAATGTGGTGTTTTGGGTTGTGTTTCTTTTTCATGTTTTCATGTCTTTTATTTTGGAGTTTAGTCATGGTCCCTGTTTGTGTCATGCTTCCCTTGCCCTCATGTATCTCTGCCTTGTGTATGTGTCATGTTCTGATTGGTTGTCTTAGTCATGTGTCTTGTTTCCCATTGGTTTGTTCGTCATGTGACCCTCATTGTCTGATATAAGTAGCCATCATTTTCCATAGTCTTCGTCGTGTATTGATGTTGTAACCCGCTGTCGGTGCGTCTAGTCTGTTATGCCTAGTCAAGTCTGTTCGTGCCTCGTCAAGTCAAGTCAAGTCAAGTCTGTGT